CCGGAGCCGATTCTATCGGCTGTAGCTGTAATCTCCTCACCGCTGCCAGTCCACGCTTCAACCTCTTGTCCGATCGAATATTCGACCCCGGACGAGAAGGGACTTAAAACTGGCGCGACTTTGAGATCAGAACTTCCAATCGATTGTTTGGATATTCGAACATCTAGTGTTTCGAATCTTCTCGATGAGACGGAGATTCCTTCGGTCGATGCAACGCCTATTATCATCCACGGTACCGTCAACGAGGTCGGTAAGGTTTCCGTCTCCGGAAGAACCCCGCCTCTTCCAGATCTCCGAGCGACCGATTTTTTCAGGTTTCTATACCATTTTTTATCCATTCTCGTTTTCCTCGTACCAATTACGTCACTCGACTTTACTCTTATTTTGCTTGTCCTTTCCACACATATACACACGCGCTCGCATACACACACACACACACACACACACACACACACACACACACACACACACATACAGCACACCAGTAAGGGGTTCGATGGATGCTGGTCAACCAGACCCGGATGGTCTAAATCCGTTGCTAACCTTGCTTGTTGGAAGATCCCGTGGCGAAGATGGGAATCGAGAGAATCGAATGGTAAACAACATCGGTGAGAAGAAATACGGGGAGGGAAAACCGAATGTGAATGTTACGACGAACCCTCTGGACATATCGTTGATAGGGACTTGCACCGATCAAAGTAACAACGATCAGTCGTCCGATGGTCCTGGTAGAACAACCAGTGCCACGAGCAAACCTCGAGGAAAACCCGCCGGTAAGTCGAAACGATGAATTCGACGTTAATATTTAATTAGTATTTAACCGTTTCCCATATTTCTAATTAATCTCGTGTTTCGTTGATGTATTTAACGATAAATAGGTGGATAATTTATGCCGATTCGTTTATGTCGATCGTTGTAAAATGCGGAAAACATAAGAAACTGCTCGCGAGCAAACAAGTAGAAATAGAAAATAATCGAAAGACGAAAGAGCGAACGAAACATCTAGAGACAGGTTTTAAAGCTGTTCTCGTTAAGAATATCAATTGTGTTGTTTTCTTTCAGAATCGCATCCCCTCGTTTCAACCATTCATTCATGGGTCAGGCTCTTTTTCCCGTTTTGCGCAATAGGTATAAAGTTGATTATGACCGAGTTGTGCTTCGAGACTCTTTATTTTCGAAACTGAGAAATCACCGAACCGACTTTACGCATATACCATGTGTAAACTCGTTAAAAAACCGAGTACATAATTGATTTGTTCAAGTCGAAGTCGAGAGCGGCTTGAGCAGGACGATCATGGCACGATAGTCGCCGATCGTCAACGGTTGGTGGTGCCTCGGGTTCGCGCTGATCTTGTCCACCAAACGAATTTCACGGTTCCTTCGTTTCCGCCTCTTTTCCTATACCGTTATAGGATCCAAATATGAGCAGTACTAGTATTCTCAAGTTTTGATTTAATTATATTTTATTCGCCACATCTCCTTGACATTTCGATTCTGTGTTTGCTTCCTAACTCTCATTTTCTGTTTTTCTCTCTTTTTGCTCCTTCTTCGTCTCCTCCTTTCCCCCCTCCTCTCTCCTCGATCAAAAATGATTGAAACGAGCGTACATGTATGTATATTGTACATATTTCGTTCGTGTTCGACAAAAGTATTTGCGCGTATTCGACATTTCGTTTAGTAACGGTTGGTATTGCTTGGTCGCGGCACGCTTTTCACGACTAGATTTCATAAAGGAACAACTTAATTTCACGAGAATCAACGTTGATCGACGATAATTGATGTAAAAAGCGGAACGGAGTACTACGATGGCGAACGTTCGAGGGAATGTTTCGAGGAGAGAAGAATCGTCGCTCATTGACATCACACACAGTTTCATTGCATTGCTCTGTATTTTTCGAAGCTTGAAAAGATGTAGTATGCTACGATATCCAAAAGCGCATGTATTGTCGACTTTGCCGGTTAGCTACTATAAACTATAAATAGGTAATAACGCCTCGATCGCCATACTGCAAGTGTCGTCGAATTGCCGCCCTGGATCGCGAAAATCTCCATTCGCATTTTCTTTTTAGTGCTCGATCTCTTTTCTTTTTACCTCTGCCGAAATATTGTCTTCCTTCCGTTATCGTACTCTCCATTTTGATCTCGCGTTACTTTAACGTCGTCATTTCTTTCTTTTCTTTTCTGTTCACGTTTTCTCTCGTTTTCGTGAATCGATATCTTCAACGCGCGCGCGCGCGCGCGCGTGTGTGTGTGTAGTATTTCCGCCTATCAATCTGTCTATTCGTTCCTCCGTCCGTCTGTCTGTGTAGCAGTCGATTCATAACGTCGGTGTCTAAAGATACAACGAGTTTCCGAAATATCGACGACGAAACGAAGAGAAAAATGAACGCAGACAAAGACAAAAGAAATCGAGGAACAAATATTGTATATATGCGCAGAATACGGCAGCATAGTCGTCGATGATTGGAAAGACATTCGTTGGTGTAGTTTTAAAAATCATGTTACTATGTATATGTGTAGATACACGCGATATTCAATGTTCCATCGCGAATTGTGGGCGGCAATTCTGCTTGAAAGACGCACGCGTATGTGTTTCACGCGTAAGCTTAACACCTTGAAAAAAGACTCTCCCGGCATCGCACGTTTCTTGGTCGCGAATAATCTGTTTACGCGAAACCACCGTAAAGATGTAGCGGTGAAAATCGAAGTAGACGAGAAAGTACTTAGATCCGATATCGAGGACCGACGAACGGAAACGGAAACAGAAAGGAAGGAAAGTAAAACAGGTGACGATGGTGATGGTGAAAATGAAGGTGAAAGTGAAAGAGGAGATGGAGGTGGAAGAAGAATATATATAGAGGAGAAGGAGGAGGAGGAGATGGAAGAAAAGGCAGGAAGCGTGGAACGTTGAAAAAGGGCAAGATGAATTCCGTGTTCGTTCGTACGATCGGCTCCTCTCGGCCGGTGAATCGCGTATGAAAATGCAAAAACGAGAAAAGGGAAAGACGAGGACGAAGATGGGGGGCGCGGACAGAGTTGGGATGGGAATATGTATACAGCGTTGTGAATCAACTGCGAAAAGGCGATAAGAAAGAAAGGAAAGACAGGTGATGCAAAATGAAATGTAACAGACGAGGAAATGCTCGATATTCGGTGCTCGGAGATCTTTTTATAAGTACCAATGTAAACTGCAGTCAGGATCGAGGAACGAGGATAACGGATGTTTACTTTCTAATGCCGAAAAGGAGGCAACGCGAGTGGAAATAAGAGATCGACGCAAGCGGCAACAATCGTGGTGCAACAACCGTCGCTGTCATTGGATGGATCAGCCGGAGCTGCAACGATATTGCTGCACCCAGAGTTGGACGTTAGACGTCGAGAGGAAAATATGAGACAATTGTTGGATGTGGCCAATACCTTGACCTTGCAAGAAATACACGACTTTGAGATGAGGTTCGCTTATTATTCTTATTGGACGCTGTTACACGCGTGCATTATCATTTTACTCTATTATTCGTTAGACGTAAAACACAACAATGGTTAGGTATTTTCGACAAGTATGAAACAACCGATCTTTCTCTTCGTGGAATGTTTCAGGTACGGTAGTCCGCACCACAGTCGGTCTCAGTCGGTTAAGACTCCCGGAAGTCGTTCATCGGGCAGACCAAACTATCTGTGTCTTCCACAGCAGAGATCAAGAGTCGCGAGCATGCCAAATACCGGTGTTGAAGAAGAGTATTATAGACTTCGACATTTCAGTATAACTGGTAAAGGAGTTGTAAATCGAGGAGACTCGTTGAAAAGTCGGAGATCTCGATCAAACAATAGCGTCGCTTCGAGTAACTCGAGGTGAGATTCCCCTATTTCCAATCCCTTTGTTTTTTCGTTTCTCGACAGGAATAAGCCGGTTATTGCATTAAGCAACAAACTCAAGCGAAATGAGAAAAAATGAGAAAACGAGTGAACGGACCGACGACAATCGGAAGACAGAAGGAGAAGCAGTAGTAGTAGTAATAGTAGTAGTAGAAGTAGTAGTAGTTGTTGTTGCTGTTGTTGTTGTTGTTGTAGGAGGAGGGGAGAAACAAGAAGGAGAAGAAGAAGGTGAAAAAGGAAGAGGAGAAGAAGAAGAAGAAGCAAAAGAAGAGGGCGAAGAGAAAGTGAAAAACGACGACTTTATAGTATAAAGTTTCACACGACGATTCTACTCTAAATCGAACGCGTGAGTTTACGTGTAGCATTGAGCGTTTGAGCGACGTAGACGCACGTGTTGGACCTTAGAGTAGAATTTCAATGCTGCGCGCAAAGTGTATCACACAAAGACAAACACTTGCATCGCTTCCGATTGTCATCGATTTTTCTAAAATAGACTATTCCGAGCAAAAACGAAGTTGTCGTTAAACAAATACCGGACAGATGACATAATCGATATAAATTACAAGTTACGAATTTCTTTCTTTCCCTATATCACGTGTATGTAAATATCGATTATATACTTGTTTTTTCTCTGTTTTTTTTCGCCCTTTTATCGGTTTCTACCATGGCGTGACTACCAACGTGATTTGGCGATGCAGCACGGAACATTTAACAGCTTCGTATCCTGGATCGGCAAGAAATTCTGCAGCGGGATCGTTGGCGAGTTCCCGCGAAAGCAGCGCGTCTCAGGGACCAACACCGTATCGCGTTCTAATGCTGGGAGCTCCAGCCGTAGGAAAAAGTTCGCTGGTTTCTCAGTTTATGACGTCGGAATATCTTCATGCGTACGATACATCGATTGGTAAGTACTAAATATTAATTATTAATTAATATTATTATATATTATATATAATATTATATTATAATATATATTAATTATCAGTATTACTTTTACACTGTCCGGTTTGCCTCGAAGCTATTGCACGATATCAAGCCCGATTTGTTTCTTCTTTTTCTTCCTACCTTTTTTCCGTTCCTCTCTTTCCAATCTATCGTCTCTGACTTTTTGTTCCTTCTGCCCTCACGATGCCGTGATAAAACACTATGCTCCCGTCGTTTCTTTACAGACGATGAATCAGGAGAGAAAACCGTCAGCGTTCTTCTAGCTGGAGAAGAATCCGAACTGACTTTTATCGATCACTCTAGCACTGAGATGACGGTACGTTGCGAATTATACGTGTATGCATGCCCATTGTATTGCTGTGTTAACGTACGTAATCGAAAGTGAGGAAAATTTTTTATAGAATTTACCCACGTTTGCTTATTATTAGATGAATTATCGGTTTACCACGCGTGAACGATATGTCGCCACCGAGCTATGAAATGTACGACATACGCAGATCGGGAATCAGAATCTGAATCGAGAATCTCGAGAATAGGTGGAATGGATTAATAAAGAGAGAGAGAGAAGGAAAGAATGTGCGAGCAAGCGGGAACGTGAGAAGGAATAGGGTGCGCGGTCGAACGCGCACATGTGGTTAGCAGTAAGCATGTAGTGTAAAACTCGATGTGCCATCCTGAAGAGCGATTGACGATCATCGAGCCGTAACTATCGGTCAACCGTAAAACGGTCCAGCGATCGATCAAACCGTCTAACCGCGATATCTTATGTATATATATATATATATATATATATATATATATATATATATATATATATATATATATATATATATATATATATATATATATATATATATATATATATATATATATATATATATATATATATATATATATATATATATATATATATATATATATATATATATATATATATATATATATATATATATATATATATATATATATATATATATATATATATATATATATATATATATATATATATATATATATATATATATATATATATATATATATATATATATATATATATATATATATATATATATATATATATATATATATATATATATATATATATATATATATATATATATATATATATATATATATATATATATATATATATATATATATATATATATATATATATATATATATATATATATATATACATATATATATATATATATATGATTCATATATATATACATATATAAGATTCAACAATATATATATGTGTATATATATATGTACACATATGGCGAGTTGAAAATCATAATGGTGTACGTAAGTCGGTTATTTTTCATAAAACGTTATTTGCGTCCATTACCGTGAAAGATTCGGTAAAAAATCTTATTAATGTTATGATAACGTAAGATCGGTCAGTAAAGAGTGGGGAATAATACTTTGGAAAATTGACAAAGCAGCGAAAGTACTGGAGTTAAAAACATATTCGACTTAGCGGTACCACAAATCGGTTCGACTCGCCGAGCGATACTATTTGATACGACATATTCGTTCTTGTCGACAACGAGTGATTTCTTTTTGCAGCCGGAAACCTGCATCACTACGTACGAACCACACGCTTATTGCGTCGTCTATTCAACGACCGATCGGGCTTCGGTACGCGTGGCGGAAGAAGTTTTGCAAACACTTTGGCGCAGCGACTACGTGTCGGCTCGAGCGGTGATCCTTGTTGGAAACAAAGTCGACCTCGTTCGCAGTCGATTAGTCTCGACCGAAGGTAAGAAGGCGTGTAACTTACCCGACCGTTTCGCGATAGGTCCTTTCATTGTTTCGTATCATTTAGCTAGCTCGTTGATACCTAAGCTATCATTAGATCCCTCCGAAAATTCAAGTATGGGAAATCACAGGAAGATATACAGTATACAATACATATATACAGCATCGATTATCGTTGCCGAACACACAGACGCGGAATCGCCATACCAATATACCTCCATTCCTCCCTTGATTTTTCTTTCTATTCTATTCTATTCTATCCTATTCTATTCTATTCTATCCTATCCTATCCTATTCTATTCTATTCTATCCATTTTATATATTCTATTCTATTCTATTTTATTCTATTTTCATCTTTTTGATGGATACAATTCTATTTCTATGTTGTAGAGGGGAAATCTATGGCTACATCTTACGACTGTAAATTTATCGAAACATCGGTCGGAATCAATCATAATGTCGACGAACTTCTCGTTGGCTTGCTTACGCAAATTCGACTGAAGCTCGAGAACCCTGAAAGAACAAGGGACCTATTTCGGAAGAGATCGCGAAAGAATCGTAGCAAATCACCTTTAGGATCTTGTTCTGAAAATAATTCACCGAAAAAATATCGCGGTAGTCGTACAAGTACCAGTTTAAAGGTACGAAATTTATTAGGTAAGGTATGGGCAAGAGATAGCAAGTCCAAGAGTTGTGAAAATTTACACGTTCTTTAATCGTTTGGACGAAGAAATGCGACACGACATTCTATTCCTACTCGATCAGAACGTCACTAAAGTTGCTTTCAATCTGCAATTTCTTCGTTTTTTACCTTGGTTTCTTCTCTTCTCATTTCTCTATCGTTCTCTTCTTCCTGGTAGTTGTTTTTATCCCTTTTGCCTTCATTCATTATTTTTCCATCTTTATTCCATTTTTCTACATAACTTCTCGAGCTTCGATTGCTTTGGATTTCGCATCGCGGGGACCAGCATTCATCAGACCACTAGTCAATTCTCTCGTTGTTTCCTATTTTACTCTAATCGTATTGGTGTTGTAAGTTTTAATGGAATCGGTTTATTGGATAAAATACGGTCCATCTAAATACATACACGATCTAATAGCTTGAAAAGCGTTTATAAAGACGTTTTTGCGAAACTTTAACTACGTTTCGACAGTGGAGTGCGTGTCAAGGACTCACGAATAGATCGAAACCTCGAGTATAAAATAATTCGAACGAGTTTTCTCGGTTTCTCTCTAATTCCTCTCTGAAACCAACTGTTCCAATCTCGAAATTATAAAAAGCCGAAAGCATTGTGTGTCACTTACATATTTCGAGCTCTTTATTTTAGCTTGTTCACCTCTTCTCTCTCAAACTCTTTCTCTTACATCAGTCTTTTTTTGTTGTGGTGCAATCAGTTTTATCGATCTCTTTACTCTTCGCATGTTTGATATACATATGTATATATTACTCCCGTTCTACGATCCAAACGCGAAAAAGTGAACCAATGTTCTTATGTTTTTCAAGCTCGCACGATCGATGCACAGCCATAATCACATTAGGATTATTTTCTTCAAATTTCACTACATACCAGGAGTGAAAACACCATTTACATTATATATCTCTACATTAATATTAAATCGACAATATACATATATATGTATGTAAGCAGTTACTTCGTCTTTCGCAATTCCACAACTTTCCTACATTGGGTTTCGTCGTTACGTTAGTTGTCACGCAAATGTTGATTGAATGGTTGATTGGTTGAACGCAATCGTGAACAAACAGTACAAAAGTTTGTCGCCTTACTTCGTTCGTCACTTAAATGATACAGAGAATAAGATAGAGAAGGAGCGAGGGAAAAAATAAGAGCCGAAAGGAAAATGATAAAACTAAAAAATGGAAAAATAAAAGGTACACGTGCCGATTTTTTATCTCGCAAACCAACGTTGAATTGTGTTTCTTATTAATCTGTTACGATATATTATGAAAATTTATAGAATAACAAACGCGTTTTTTCTTGTTTGTTAATCGCGAAGCGAAAAAATTGTAACGAATCGAGTTGTATCGCTCGAGCAAACAGATCAGTTTGCGTTTAAGTACATACGAAGAGAAAGAAGGATTTACTTAATAGAAAAGAGACAGGGAAACATAAAAAGGGGAAAAAAGACAAAATCACACATTTAGAGTACGATAAGTGCATAAATACAAGTTCACATGTGAGATTTTGTTCGTTTACGAGATTTTGCAGATATGACGGATTTTTGGAAGACTGTCCGGTAAATTGTATTACTCTTTAAGTATACAACCAATTTTACCTTAGTCTGTATTGTTACCTTATAATAACCTCCCGTCCATCGACTAGAAAGAAATTTCTACGAGCCATGGCAATCGTTTAAATCGCCATTACTGCATGGAATCGTAACGAACGTATCGGACATTTCGAGTACACGAATGACCATAAATTAGTCGTTAAGAACCGCGCTACTTGTTTCCGCGAAAAGTTTCCATTACTTTTCGTGCCGAAACGAACTGTAATTGTACCGTGCTGTACCGCGCCGTACCATGCCGTGCATCGTACCAAATTTTAACTTTTAACCTTTCAAAGCGCATGTGCGAGACTGATTTTCATTCGATTTCGAATATCGAACGATACCGCTGACGAACGGGCGTTTCGTTTCTTTGAGAAAATTGTTTGCGAAATAAACTACATGTTCCGATAAGAACAAACGTCGTCGATGCGCGCATGCTCTTTTACTTGTACTTTTTTCTCTTTTTCGAGAAAAGATCGTCCTCTGCTCTTCGCTAGGCCGTATTAACGACGAGAGCAGCGACGTTAAACGACAAGGACATGCAAAAGGAAATTGAGAATGAGAGGGCAAACTGTAATCGAAAGGACCAATTTGATAAGAAATAAGATGTGCAAAGAAAAATAAAAAGAAAACATTATGACTTTCATGAGTAGACTACGATGGGATGAGAATGGGGATGATGGGGAGCGTGCGAGCGAAAGAGAGAGAGAGAGAGAGAAAGAGAGAGAGCGAGCGAGAGAGAGAGAGAAGGGGTAGAAAATGAGGGATTTAGAGAGGGAAGAGTACGATGTTCGCTGATGATTATCCGTCCATCAATGTACACCTTGAAAAAGATATCCTTCGCAAACGACCATGCCGATTTTAATCAAGAGCTGATCGATGTTGACGAGCTTTGTTTGAAGGACCCACACGAACACCGTCTCTTGGAATGTGAGGTGGTGAATCGGTCGCACTGCCCTCTCGATGTGGAGAAAATCTCGAGGAAGACGCAAGCGGACAAATGATATATGTACAATGTACATATAATACGTCTCGATTTTGACGGACACAACACGTGTCGCTTGTTGAATATGTCATGACTGCCGACCATGACAGACACTTTTTATGTAAAACTGAACGTATGTATGTATGTATGTATGTATGTATGTATGCATGTATGTATGTATGTATGTATGTATGTATGCATGTATGTATGTATGTATGTATGTATGTATGTATGCATGTATGTATGTATGTATGTATGTATGTATGTATGTATGTATGTATGTATGCATGCATGCATGATGTGTGTTTGTTGTGCGTGTATACGCGCGCACGAGCGCGTGTTGTGTGTATGCATTTATGTATTTATGTATGCACGTATGTGTGTTTGTTGTGTGTGTGTGCGCGCGCACGAGCGCGTGTTGTGTGTATGCATTTATGTATTTATGTATGCACGTATGTGTGTTTGTTGTGCGTGTGTGCGCGCGCACGAGCGCGTGTTGTGTGCATACATTTATGTATTTATGTGTGCACGTATGTATGTATGTACGTATGTATATATGTATCTGTGTATGTATGTACGTATGCATATATGTATGTGTATATGTATGAATATACGTATGTACGTATGTACATATTTATGTGCGTATGTATGTATATACGTATGTGCGCATTTATGTATGTATGTATGTACGTATGTATATACGAATGTAATATGTATGTATATGCGATCGAATGCACCGACGAATACCCATATTTTGCGGACCAGAGCCTACCGATTAGGCAATTTCTTCGATCGATGTTATATTATATCCTTGTACCTGTATGCGTAGTAAAGCCGCGCTGATTTTATTGTCTTTTCTTGTTATTAGCGTATCAAACAACGTTGTTAGTATATTGACCGTTGCTATCGAGAATACGATTTTCTAGTGTATGGAAGATCGGGATACAACGAGAAATAGATTCAGATCGAATTTGCGATTCGACGCTAATCTTTACGCTACATGATGTCATGCCGGTGATAGCGATGACAATGACTATGACAACAGAGACGCTGACGACGATCGTTTCGATAATATATTACAAACATTTTTATTTCTATTTATATTTCTATGTCTGTACGTACGTCCAATATATCTGAAATAAGTTATCGTTTCATCCTTGTGTATGTATTTTAAAATCATAGAAATTGATTGTTCAGCGAATTATTATGCTGATGCGTTGATAATAATTCTCGTTTTTTCTTCATACATATGCATGTATATATAGGAACTACAAAATCTCTTGAAAGAAAATACTTCCTGAAGCATCGTGTGATCGCCAATTTAAGCACCCGATAAAAACCAAAGCCATTGTTTTCCAAGATTCCATTTCATCGTATACTAGTGATGAAATATTAATAATGTCCGAGAAAAAAATGCGACACGTAGATGATACGGAATGCATGTAAATCGATAAAATAAAGATATAGCATTTTCTCATTCATCTAATTCGTTTACTACGAGTTGCACATGTTTTTTTTTCATAAAAATTTATCTTTTCGTATATTTTTCATGCGCATCCACTAACATCGCGTGAATACACGTTGGAGTATATACGCATGTATTTCATTTTATACAATGTTACATATAAGCCTCCTTACATAAATTCACAATGAAATTTCATTTCTTAAAAGGAAACTGTTTTTAAGTTGTTTGCTTTTTTATACATGTAATGTACATATAAGCACGACATTATGGGAAGACGAAAAAAAGAGGAAGAAAAGGAAAGGAATCGGAATTTAAAGGACTGTTACATTTTATTCTATCTCTTCTTATACGAAAGAACTAGTTCTTAGAACTAATTTCAATGCATACGTATGCATTTATATACATGTGTACGTACACTGGATAACCTTGTAAGTGGGGACTGAGGACGAGCAATCGCAAGAAACGCATGAAACAGAATATGCGCCACTGTTATGTATGGATTTACTTGTGTATATGTGCATTGGGTATTAATAGCTTGCTGAGATGTCACAGAGCTACAGGCATCTAAAAGAAAGACTAACCTCTTCGTTTCTTATACGATAAATGGTTATATTCAACGCAACCTTGAATAATTTTAGATACTTTTCACACGACAATTCGACAAATATTTATCGAACGTAATCGAACTCAATCACATGCGGAATCACGTGCAAGGAATATCCCGCGATATTGTAAACCAAGGTAAAACGTATGATTAACAGTGAAATGTCATTTGGCGTTTAAGGACAGCAGTATGAAACGTAACTTTCCGTGAGTTGAACAATATCCAAGTGGATATATTTAACGAATATGTTATATAAATTCTTCAACGTTGTATCGTTTAAAATTTTTTAGTGCAAGTAAACTTGGGTTGATGGATAAGAAATTGAAGGAAGACTAGAAAAGTTTCTCTATGCGATGGAGCTATTCCATTAGACTTTTCATGTTTCTCTTTTATATTCTATTTTAGATTCACTTTAAAATACTTATTTTTCTCTCTTTTTTGTATTTATATCAAGACCATGTCAAAGCCTGAGACACCAAAATTTGTAACTGCTCTTTTTTCCTTCAAAGGAAAAAACAATGACGAGGTATGTTTCATTTTCTATTTTATTCTCTATTTCTATAGATCGGTAATTTCAACACTGCTGCATTTGTGTTTTAGCTGTGTTTTAAAAAGGGAGATGTAATTACGATAACACAGATAGATGAAGGAGGTTGGTGGGAGGGAACATTACATGATAAAACAGGATGGTTTCCATCTAATTACGTCAAAGAGTGCAGGGTTCCAGGTATTGTGCATGTAATGAAACAATCTGTATTTAATCATTTTGATAATTTCTAGATTCTTATGTGCTTACCTTTTATACATTTACAATATTTTTATTTTGCTTATAGAGAATAGTGTCTCCAATATGAAAGCAACTGAAAAAGTTCTGCAAGAATCTCCCGTGCATCAAAAACTAAATCGTGATATTGTATTGAAAGATTTGGTAGACTCTGAAAGAGTGAATGTAGCAGAATTGCAGGGTTTGATAAATAGTTTTTTACATCCTCTAGAATCTGCTAACATGTAAGTATATGGGATAAATTATTTATTAATTTTGTGGGAATGCATACATACACATACACCTTTGCAATACTACAAATGAGATGTATTATAAATCTTCAATGTATAGATTGAACAAAGAAGAATACAAGCAACTTCTAGGTAATGTACATGAAGTTTTGGAAGTACATCAACGATTGCTATCCAATTTGGAAGCAGCTATGACACAAGATTCTAGAGTTGGAAATCTCTTTCTAACGCTTGCACCAAAATTAAAGTCCATTCATACAATGTATTGCAGAAATCATCCGAAGGCAGTATGTATTTTAGATCGGTACAGGTATGTATGAAATAAAAAAATTATTTTTATGTTACTTAAGTTTAACTGTAGGAAAAGGATATGACACTTGAAAGTTATTTTCTTTACAAAATTAAATTCATTTCTTCTTCTAGAGATGAACTGAATGATTTTATGGAACGTAGTGGAGCGATATCACCAGGGATATTAGTATTAACAACTGGTCTAAGTAAACCTTTCCGTAGATTGGATAAATATTCTGCTATGCTTCAAGAATTGGAGAGGTATACGGAAAGAAATCATCCTGATAGAGGTGACACGCAACGCAGTATAGCAGTATACAGAGAGATAGCGGTAAGTCGTTTGATTGTATCCTTACGTTGTTCTTTAGTTTAAGCTCCATAAAGACGTTTGGCATTTTTAGCAAAATACGTTACAATTTTTGTTGCATTCTCTTGTAGGATCGATGTGCATCCATACGAAAGCAACGTGAGTTGGCGCTTCAAGTGTTAACCAGCGGTATTAAAGGATGGGAGGGAGAAGAGTTAAGCTCACTCGGGGAAATTCTTTATGTCGGATCTGTCACTTTGGCAAGCGGAACTACTGGTCAAGATCGTCGAGATAGATACTTTGTTCTTTTTCCAACGACTCTTTTAGTCCTCAGTGCTAGTCCAAGGATGAGCTCTTTCGTTTACGAAGTATATTCGACATTTTTTTCTCTATATTCTATATCTTGTTGTATATCTCTCATCTTTACAGAAATGCCTAAATAAATGCTTACATGTTTTCTCCATTCACAGGGAAAACTTCCATTAACAGGTATTACTATTACTCAAGTGGAAGATACAGATGAAATAAGAAATGCTTTTGAAATTACAGGCAAGGAATCCGAATCATTTATTCGTTATGAAATAATATTAATCACCACGCAAATTTACTTGACAAACTTTACTTGACCTATTATCAACAAAATTTCCATTTGATCTTAGGACCAATGATCGAGAGTATACTAGTACTTTGTGGTTCTAAAGAAGATCAGCAGCGATGGATCGAACTTTTAATACAGGAACAAACAACGAATAACAGTCTCGTGAAATCATCAACGACGTCACGCGTGAGTTACAGTTTACCTCCATATGCTCGTCTTTCAAGATATTTTGCAAAATTAGTCAGACAAAAAATTATACGTCCTGAACTTTTGAAAAAATTGCTTTATTTACAATACGTTCTGCGACCGGATATGAGTAATGTAAAAATGCGAAGGACTAATATAACGACATATGTCCTTCATCCGATGCAAACAAATAGTCAGGATAGTTGTTCATACAACTACTCGACAAGTTTCGAGTCGAATAAGATCGCAACGGGACAACCATTCGTTGGAACGACAATGTTGCGTAAATCTACTTTGACTCTCAATGTGAAATATGCATTACCAGATATTGATCTTAGTACTGTAGGAGTAACAAAGGGCTCATCTTTGACGGAAGTAATATCAACTGAGAATACACGAGGTGATGTTAGTAAAAGTTTGCCACTTGTTAGTGTTGGAAGTTCTATTACTGCTGGTTTCGCCAATAATAATAATAATGTAAATACCGTAAGCGTTGTTGACGAACAACTCGCTTGTCGATCACGTTTCACGAATCTTGCTCGTTCGTTTCCAATTGGCTGTAACTTCCATCAAGATACATTTGGTGAAACGAAGAAGCACATAGATGTTGCGGCCGCGATAAAGTGTTGGAAGAGTAAAGAATTCACTGACGAACAATCTATTATGATAAATTCTGTACATCATCCATCCGTTCCTGTGTGTAATTCAAACATTATTGAGAATTGCTGTCAAGCGAATGTAATTAGTGTTGGATCATCAGATTCAGGAATGGCTGAAAGTTATCGATTAAATTCTTCTGAAATAAATTCTTCTTGTAAATCGTGTACGTGCGTTGAAAACAAATACAGCATAGAACATCCTATAAGGATCTATTCTGATGAAAGTGAGAACGATGAGAATAATTTTGAATATCAGTGCGTTTGTACATCACCTTTTGGTTCAACCCCCAGGGATAGTGCTCACTTATCTGATTCATCGAAACACAATGATAATACATTAGATCCTCCGACCTGCGAAACTGCTAGTACGATAGTTTACAATTCTGACCATGCCTTTGCAACGAATAAAATACAAACAAAAGAAAATGTGCTTTCGAATAAATATGAGCATACAATGCAAAGAAGGTTTACACAACCTATACCATACACACATCAAAGTATTGTACGAAAAGTTGGAAGGAAAGCAATTCAGCCAACTCGACCTGTCGAAAACGATTATAATGGAGCACATCAAATATACACGTCAGGACTGTATGCCCATTGGTGGTTGAAGAAGTCTATACCATTTTCTGGATGCTCGGATCAAGGCAAGCTTCCATGGCATGGCTGTCTTTTTCTTCCTACTGTTTAATTAGCGTTTTTGCTTGTGTTACTACTAATTGTATCTTCTTACACACGCGCGCGCACGGCACATGCACGCACGCACACACATACAGAGAGAAATGAAACGCGTACACGAGCACACAAGCGTATGCTTTCATTTCACAGCCATGTTGTGTGAAGTAAGCTTTCGCTTTACTAACGTTAGTATGCATTTTAAGAATCTAATTGGAAAAAGAAAATCTGCGTTCACTTGCATATATAGTTGGTTTATTTATGATTTTTCTTTCGTTCATTTAGAACATGGACATGTATAGAGCATGTTTCAAAATTATATATAATTTTTAGTTTAGTTATAATTAGTATAAATAATAAATTGATTTGCACTCTTTACGACTTATTAGATTTGCAGTCAACAAAGCGGGAAACAGCAACAACAACAAACGCAGCAACAGCAACGACAGTCACAACAACACAGATCAATCACGGAACATTGTGTCTCCCTAGGAATTAGAACACCTTGGAGTATCGCTTCGTTACGACCAGCACCTCCTTTCTATAGCTTCAAAGTATTTGGTAAAATTGACATTTGGATTTATCACGCGTACGGCCGCCATACGGCATAAATATAAAATTTGAAAAATATGTCGTAACATGTATATTCATAACAAGAAACATGTTATCGCTTACAGATGAAAGACAATTTGAAGAGGATGCAATCATATTGAAGGTGATAGAGGCGTACTGCCTTTCTGTTAATGCTAGATTCACCGTGCATTCTGGAGAATCAACTTGTAGGTTGTGGATTACATTTTCGGTTTCTAAGATGTATAGTAGTGAACTTTTGTATAGTAACATTTACATGTCGCATATCATGTTTACATTTTAGCAATGCTGGAATATGATTCGCATAAAATGCGAGACAGAACATCTTTGATGCATAATCGTGGAAATTGGGATTTTTGTAGTAATCGGTAATCATCGTCTAGTTGTTACAATATTTCCCATAATTGTATACAGTATACACAAAGAAAACGCTTCTAACATATCGTTCATTTTGAATAGGACATTATCAGAGACAGTTAGAACATTGAAAAATCAAATGACAGATTTACAATCGCAAATGTCATTATTGACGAAACAATTGGACGAAGAGAGAAGATCGAGACTTTCTTTAGCCGCAACGGTAAAACGTAGCATTGGTGTTGTGGACGGATCGGTACCTTAAATGTTCTTGACAAAAGATATAATTTCTTGATATAATGATCTGTGTTTTATCATATTTGCATCTTTTAACCCGATTCAATTTAAGTTTGACATTGGGAATGTTCTCTTTGTAAAATTTTCACACAGTGCCATTGTAATAAAAATAAAAGAACGAGTAACTGAACAGCGCGTATAAATTATTTCAACTTTCATTCGTCTTAGATGTGAAATTTATTACTTATTTCGTTTGCATGGAAATCTTTGGGAATGTATATACATCATGAAGTGTGTTAAACGAACATATGTGTATGAATTTCTGTTACATCGAAAATGATGATTCAGAAAAAGAGCATTCAATGAGTTTATCTTGGTTTATTTTTAATACGCTCTAATTCGTTTACTCTGCTTCGTGCGTGTTCTAACCTGTGCCATGCCATTTGAAGTACTTTTTGACTAGCATACCCAGAGCCTTCGTGTGGTTGCCCTAAAAAGGAATAAATTTAATAAGAGAGTAAAGTAAATTAGATATTCGTATAAAGAGACAAGCTGACTTTCAGGTGGTCAAATGATTGTTTACCTGTAGAAACTTGAGTTAGATAATTAATTTGTTCGCTCAATTTTGATTCCACGTGTCCTAGTGTTTTTAGAAATTGCTGAGTTTGCGCTTCAGCTTGTTTCATGCTACTTTTCTCTTTACTGAGTTCCACAAAAGCTTGGCCTACATAAAGTAATAAGAATTGTCTTCTAGTTACACGAGAATTATGGTGTTACATGGTGTTTATAAATAAGCGTTTGTTGATTACCTGCACTTTGCAAACACACAATAATATCCTTCTCAATCGTTTCAAGGATTTGTATTCTCTCCATCGGTGGCGTCATTGCGAATTAGTTGTTAGAAGCTACGATTTATACGAAACTGTTGAAAAAATGATTAGAGGAAAAAAAAATGAGAAACATAAAGTATCACGTAGTATGTTCAACGTCGCACTAATGAACGTATCGTAATATGACCGAAGATTACCGAAAATAGTCGTAAATGGTCGAAACGCGGCGCTGTCTGGTATATCAATCGGTATTCCCAAAGAGGAAGTTTCCTATCTGACATTCCTTTCTATATATCATCCTTTCTATGTTTCCTTTCTGGTTATACTTACAATTGGAATAAGTACATATTTTGGAGTAAGTACATATTTTAATCAATAGTAGTAACACAGAGGAAGTTTCATGTGTGGTAATAAGTATATTTGTTTATTTAGATTATACTCTTTTGCATTATATATTTATGTTACATTTTATGTTTCATGCGTTTAAAATGTAAGAAATAGGCAATGCGACGAAGGATTTATAAAAGTATGTAAATTTATTTTCGCATAACTAAACAATAAAGAAGATTCTTAACGAAGAAAGCTGACGTGATTAAAAAAACAGTAGTATTACGCATGTAATAAGATATAGTTAGTATTAGAAATATTAGTCGAGTAAATCATTTATTAAGGACAATAAAATCAACCAACTAGAATGGTATCGTCATCGAGGAATTGATATTCTGGTATTTCCAAATTAGTAGGTGCTGGTCCTTTACGTATGCGCCCAGACGCATCGAAGTGAGATCCGTGACACGGACAGTAAAATCCACCGCGTATGATACCGGAGTTAGGAATTGGTATGCAACCGAGATGCGTACAAATTCCAATGACGATCAACCATTCCGCTCGTTTGACTCTTTGATCATCTGTCTCAGGATCCCTTAATGTCGCCACATTTATTACTTTCTCTTGTTCTATAATGGATTGGGAGCTGTAATGTATTTGAAAATGTTTGAGCGTTAAAAATAAGGTTTGGATAAAGATAAAGAGCAGAGAGTGTAACCATCGGGAATGGATGATACTGGCTGAATAGCTCACCGATGGTAAATGAAGATCGGTTTTCCTCGCCATTTAAATACTGATACCTTTCCCACCGGTATATCTTGCAAATTAATCTCAATTTGCGCTTCTGCTAAAATGTTACGTGCTGGAGCTAGACTTACTATGTAATGTAACAAGTGAGACTTGAACCCATAAAGTCCAGCAACACCGCCCACTAATCGAAAACAAAGGATTACGTTATCTTCATTGTCTTATCGTCTTCGGTCGCACAAGTCCTTCTATCTCTTTTTTTACTGTATTTGTTTTTATTTTTCATAAACTTCGTACTCGTGGGAACGTACCAAAAGACATTACGTAACTTGATGTTTTTCGCTCATCGATGCTCCGTTTAGTCGACACATTCGAATTCTGAAGAGATTTTCGACGATATTCTTGAAAGCTAACTTTGGGTAAGTCAGTGTGTGCATATCGATTTTTTAAAGAGAATGTTAGTGTGCTCGCGTTCAACCAATTCTCGAAAGGAAATCGAGAATAAATCGATGCGAAAGACGATGACATTTCTTCTCGAAGCTTGTACTGATTACTACCCATTAATATAACATGAAATTCGTTCGAACGTCGCGTTTTTATCATGGTTGCGATTCGCGATTGTTTTTTGAAATAATTGAAAACGTGAATGCATCTCACAAAAGGAAGAAACGGAACAGAAGGAATAAAGAAACAAATATCGAAAAGTTGTTACTACCATGTTATTGTCAGTAGATTGATACATGTCCATAGTATTGCGATCTTTTATTGGAAAATTTGATCGAGTCGAAAAATGTTATGCAAGAATAATGTAGTAAATATAGATATCGAAATTAATTCCATTTGTCTCTCTCAAAGTCTCTAGCATATATACCAAAGGTAATAAGATTGTTGATCGGTTCGTCCAAAACCATAGTTAGATTCATTTCGTTTCCACGTACATGTTCAACGTATGACCACTGTCCAAAGGGAATGAGTGAAGCGCCAAGTACGCTAGGCATTATCAAAATTTTTGTGTAATCGTTGAATCTCGCTGTGACGCTTAAAGCGGAAAATATAGTATCGGATCGGGAAACGAAACCGCAAGAATGGATAGATTCATTAAGACATTGAATCAAGCCACATACACGGACACCGGCTTCTACTTCAGTGCCGTACAAGCGAACACCGTTGTAAACTATCGCGCGGTAATAAATCGAAGACGAATTGGTGATGGTTTCCACATCAGCCTTAAAGTCGCAGCAAAAGTTATGATGACAAACGGTTTCAGTCATCGAATCGTTGTTGAACAGAATAGATTCGAATGATGTAACATTATCGCGTAATAATTTTATCCACTCGGGCGTGACTTCTTTCTTTATTGATTTATCACAAAGCGTTTCATGGCGTGCAATGTTTTTCGCCGTTTCTTGATTTTTCTTTTCTTTGTTCATCGACTTCTGTTTCACTTCTGCTCTTTTGGATTTTATTGTTTTTGGGACTCGGGAGATCAAAAGTTTAGGATAGTCAGCCATGGTTACGTTGGCTATACCGTTACGACCTAACGAAATTGAATTGGAAATTAATTGAGAAATAGAACAAATATCTCAACAAGTATGAAATTGTTAATCTGTATGAACGTGCGATACCTAAATAAATTCCGCTTCCCGAAGTTCCGATAGCAGGTTGGTGATATCCAGCTACTAAAAGATTCACATTCTCGGCAAAGGACCATCCAAATTGCGTTTGAATGGCTGGAAGAAAAGTTATAAATGAAAAATGTTAATTGATTGATTGCAAGCTGATAAAGAAAATATATAGTATGTTGTAAATAAATGGTACTAATGACATAAGATACCAGTTAAAAATGGCGTTTCCGAGAACCAGGCGGTGGTGTATACGATATTTGAAACTCCTTCTATTCTAGTCAAGGATAAAGGCGGTACCGAAAATAGTATATCAAAGCATATAAAGGTACCAAATCTCACACCGAAATCGGTGTCGAATGTTACAATTTCCGGTATCTCGATCTTATCGAATTCGGCTTCCATATACAGATTCACTTTGCGATACCTGATTACAAAGAGAAGGAAGAAGAAAGGAATCGTTATAAATCGATCATGAAGATATGATTACGTACCTGGCAATTATCTTTCCTGTTCGGTCGAACACGACATTAGTGTTGTGATAGTGCCATGTTTCGTTCGAGGGACATGCATCGGTGTAATTGACCAATCGTTTTTCAGCGATATTTACCACCACGTAGATGCGATTTTCCCTTGCAGCGCATGATAGTCTTCTTAACGTCTACAAGAAATAACAGAAGAAGAGATCTATGGTGTATCGAGTGTGGATACAGAGTACTTACTTCACTGACGTTAACGTCGGTTCCCGTGCAAGGGATATATTCATCGACAGCGGAAGGAATCACTGTTGTCCAGGAATTCATTTGTGATTTGTTAGGCAAATGGATCGATGTCAGTCCATCTTCCGGGAAAACGATAATGTCAGCACCCTGTGTGGCAAATTCTCACATCAGGATTAACATGTTGCGAAAAACAATCAGACCATGAAACTCGATCGAGCTTACCTCTTTACTCGCTTTTTCTATGTACTCGATGTACGCATTCGTGTTTTCTCTTAAAGTTAACGCGGCATCATGCCAATGATAAACCGGTGCAAATTCTACCACAGCTGCGGTATAATAATCCGATGAATTCTGTTCTGTCATCTGTTTTATAGAAATGGATGATAGGGATTAGCGAACGATCATTTGTTAGATTACTCTTATCCTTATTAAACGATGACAAGTTTGGAATCGTGTTTTAGATTTTGGTCTGTTTCGTCTTTCCAAAAATCATCCGATTCTTACCAAATTTGTATACACTGTACAGGTTATTATATACAAGGTATTCGGCTACAGGCGTAAAAAGATTTAAGGGGTGATTTTTAAAGCTAAAATAACTGTTTATAATATACAGGGTGGTTGGTAACTGGTGGTATAAGCGGAAAGGAGGTGATTCTACGCGAAAAAAGAAGTCGAAAATATAGAATAACAATTTTTCGTTTGAGGCTTTGTTTTCGAGAAAATCGACTTTGAATTTTCGCTCGGTACGCGTGCAGTACGTTATAACGGATCTCACTGTAGATCGTTGTCTCGATGGAAAAATTAAAAAAAAAAAATTTTTTTTTTTAATTTGTATTCTATATTTTCGACTTCTTTTTTCGCGTAGAATCACCCCCTTTCCGCTTGTACCACCAGTTACCAACCACCCTGTATATGTTCCGCCCGCAGGTGTTTACAGAAAATGTATACCTGTTCGTACTATTGAAATTTTAACCTTACCTGATATGAAAGTCGTATGAGGATCAATAAAAATCCAATTTCGTTCAAATTTCCGCGCATGGCGATTGCTTAACTCGTCGGTCCTTTAACTTAGTTGCTTTAGAAGAAAAAAAATTAACAACCTGAAAAATGAAATATGTTTACCGTTTTTATAACACCTGATTCGATAGATTTGTACGTTTTTTTTCCCGTTTCGTGTTTTAATGTCTTCGTGTAGTCTTTTTTGTCCTATACATTTCATGAATATGTAATATGCATATATAAAATAGAAGATACGATTCTGTCACAGGATCAAATACACGCGCGCATATACGTATACATATAATATACATGTGATGCATGTTATGTACATATATCACATAGAAGATAATCAGTAGACGATTATACATAGTGTAAAAGCAAGGTTTTTGCAAACCTAAGCGCGATCTGTCAACAGCTGTTTAATGATAATATAAATTGCAATAATTTGATTTTACCGTTGTCGCGATGACAAGAAATCCGTAATGTAAGATAAATACTAGTCTAGTACTTCTTTGGCATTCCGTATTTATACTCACAATGATGATATTCGCGGTGGGGGGTTTATCTTGTCAGTATGTACGTAGTAAGTACGCGAACGTGTCGTGCAACTTCGATTGTGGGAGAAATTTCAGAACTGTTTCCTCCAATACTATTCTTTGCTTTATCGTTAACGTTCTTATGTACATAATAACAATACATAGTAAGTATGTTCTGATATATATATAATGCGTTGCTAGCAAATAGAAGAAATGTGAGAGGGGTTAATTATTTCTGACAGACTTAATATAAGCTCAACGTAACAACAAAGATAAGCACGTGTATAGGCCGAAAATATCATATATGCAAATAAAACAATACAAAAGGTGGTAACTCATGACGGTGAGAATCGTTAGTCTTTGACGATGAGTGATAGAGTACAGTATTTTCCTTGCCCATGTGCTGTCCTGAAGTCTTGCGTCTTGACTACTCTTGAGTCCTGATTACCAACTTACCAACAATGCATTACTAGAGGATTTAAAGACATGGTATTATATACACGATACATATATGTATATGCATATATATACGTCAGGTATGTACAACATACAGAGTGTGAAATTTGTTGCAAAAAACGTGAGGTGTGCAAAGTGACAATTATTATACATAAATAAAAACTATACAAGTTCTTATTATATATATTCAAAACCATATAAATTCAACTCTCTCTGGTTCAATTTACGAGTAGATCTTTATTTTCGCTGTTGCTATCGCTCTTTCTTTAACTTTTATTACTGTTGTTGCCATTGTTGCCTTCATAGTGTCATTATCGACGGCTCTGATAACATCGTGCTACTATCGATTCTATTATCGTGTATAAATTACATATGACTGCATTATTTCGTTACGATACCCAATTAGGTTATATTAGGTTAAGTTGCATTATTTATAATACTTGTAAACTGTTAATTTAACGTTTTGATAGAAACTTGATTTTTACTTTCCTATCCTGTTTACGGAGTATTCGAAAACGTCAAATCGAAAACGATAATTACGTATAAAATTTATGAGCTAATGGGAATTAACGGATCCTACAATTACATAGTACCAGAATTTATTTGCACGTGTATCGTATGTATTTCGCAATACCATATCTACAAATAAAATTTGCCGCGATGATAACTCGCTCCACGATAAGAACATCTCGACAAATGGATCACCAATACGAATATAGTAATTAACGAAGATACAATATCACAGCTATGATCGTCCTTAAAAAGCAAGCTATCACACCTTAATCTTTTCCCACTAGATACATTATGTAAAGACGATCTCCTAGTTTCTTTCTAATTAATAAATAATTAAATAAAAATGGCATTCCCTATTAACGTATGAGGCCGATGGCAGATTTTTGTACTGTAAAATACTTTTAATTAATAATTTTATAATTTAGACCAACCTACAGAAATGCACGATAATGTTTACTTTCTAGACATATATTAAACTCATATATGTATATACATTGTCACGTCCCGCGCCCCGCACGATCCGTAGCGCGAAATTAAAACTGGTCATTCCTTCCAAATCAAGGTAATTTAAAACGTTTATTTGAAACCGTGTTTACAGTATTTGAAGTGAAAGGCTGTTAAAACCGCTAAAAGCTATATCTTGCGAAAACTTATCTAACCATGTTTTTATATTTACTTGATTATGTTTTTATAACGATATTAAGAATTTATATATTTATTTTTATATTATTTTTATTTATATCATCTCCGACAGATATAAATAAATGTAGCGACTCAGAGAAGTCAGTATATTAATTACCGTTCGTCAACCGAATAATTACCATTTGAAGAGTTAGTTATCATTTTGTCAACCGAAAAATCATCATTTTGTCAAGCGAAGAATTTTATATCCGTCAATCTGTCAGTCAATTGTCAATATCGAAATCGAGTAAGATTTGAATAAATCATGACATATTGTTAATTTATTTTCGAACAATTTTAATCCTCTGCCATGCCAGTATTCCCGCACATAGCAGGTTAGCCGAAAGTGGAACTTATTGCCAGCTGCATTAAACGTCAGTTAACGCTACCTACCTCGTTGTCGGCAACTAAATAGAACGTAACAACATACATAATAACTGTACAATTACATACATTATATGCGGTATGCTCATTGTTGAAGATATTTTATAGGAGATTCGGCTGTTATTTAAAACTTTCACTAAGTAATATCTCGATACCGTTATCTATGAGAGATTTCTCTGGTTATCGATAACTGTTGCATATACTATATAAGAAAATTGTTCTTTGGTTGCCGATGGGCATCTATGAAGTAATTGTTTTTGTCATCAATAACCATTATTTATAACGAAATTTTTTTGCGTTACCGATAACCACTATCTTTTTTTTTAAGCAGAATCTTTTTTCTTTATTACTTTCAACCATGCAGGTTTTGTTAACATTACTGATAATGATTAGTATCTAGATAAAAGACATAAAAAAACGGATCCTATATTCGTTTTTTATATACATATATGTGTCAGGTTTGTCGGGTTGGCGCGTTGTGTTTCTTCGTTGGGACAAGCCATTGTAGTTGTACAAAGAGGTTTATATTTATAGTGATATGTACAGGAGTTGTTCAAACAAGGTTTAACTGTATAACGTAATAAGTCAGTTTTAAATAAACAATGTTCTTAGGTTCAAACGAATCCACGGTCAACGGGATAACTCTTTGTACAATTGGATATATGTTAAACTCGAAATGACGTTTGCTATGACGTACGGTATCTTTCAGACTAACTGTCTGACGTTATGAATAAACTCTCCAAGGTGACCATAAGAATAAAAGACTGACACGTTCACATTTATCAATTGTGTATTGATCAGGGTTATCAACAAAATTCCAGGCGCCGTTACTAGGCAGACTCGCGTAGAGCCGTCATTGCTCCCACCTCGGGACTTGTTTGTTAATACAACGTGTGCCCCTCAACATTAGTATTTCTAGTGTGAAGTAAAACGTTTATCCCGTGACCGTGGCTACGTTCGGTGACCAGTTGTGACACCTTCACCCCAAGCCCACTGTTATAATACTATAATGAACAGCTAAAACAAACAGTTTAGCCCAAAGTATTGGGAATCTTTCCAAAATTCTAAAAGAAGGGCCCGTTATCCCTACATCACCGACATATGTAACTGTTTCAACCCCTTAAGTGGTAAAAGTCGGTAAATATATCCGCTCGGTGGGTTGGTTATCGACAACCAAAAGAGAATGCCCTCATCGATATCACTGTTTAACAAATTTTGACCTTTTTCCGATTTTGCAATTTTCAGTGGGTGATTGTTGTACACTTTCGTAAGCTAAACACGAATCTGTAAACCGCTTTTTCTTAGAATTTATAATTAATGTTTTGGGCCCTTAGGTTGAGATGAAATTATTCTATGGATTCTCCCGAATAAAATGATATGTATTGTTATTGAATTATAAACATTTAAACATGTTTGAATAACGAGCAAGTGAGAGAAGGACATCTAAAGGGCAACATCTTTTACTTACATTTTCCAATTTACTTAAAAAACTAGAGGTGAAATTTTTGATAAAACACGTGTCGGCGACGGCGGCAGTGTAGCGTAAAATTAAGATAAAAACAAGAAACTTGTCAATTTCCGAACAGGAGATCGAGTTTTTTTTATTTTTACTCGGTTCGCGATGATACTGTGGCGGCACGGGCCACGGAACTTTCCAACGGCTCTGGATACAAAGGGCGACGCTGTCAAAGCGCAACACCGACATGGCCAATGTACCATCGATATCTTCATACTCTTTCCGCCGAATTCTCGAAAGAGCATACGTGCCAGCCGCGGCGGCACATCTAATGAATGCACGCTAGTGGGGGATATCGATGGGCAACGAAGGGAAGAATCCGTTCGAGCCGGAACAAAAGGGCAGTCAGTCTGTCTTACCTCCTCTTAACTCCTGTCTTAACCTATCTTAACCTGTCTTAACTCCTCAGTACCATTGCATAGCAACGCGTCGAATGAACTCTTGGTGTCTATTGTTACTTGTTAATCGTTACCAGTTATTTGTTAGTCGTATCTGTTAATCGTTATTTCTTGACTCTGACTGTTAATTCGTTCTTAATAAACAATTGTTCGTTAAAACATCTGAGTATTCCTTACGCACCTATCGCGACAAGCCACCTCAATACACTTTTGATACATGGGCTGGCTAAGAATTTTTCAGACTGACTGGATGATTTTTAAGGAACATTTATATTCTTTTATTCGTTGGAGTGGGAGAAGGCTTTGCTCGTACTTATTATATACTTCGGAGAACGGCTGGAGTGACCGAATGCAGGCGTCTGAGAACGAGTGCTGACTGGACTCGGAATTTTGGTTTATCATATGGTTGCTCGAATTTCACCTGTGACAGCAGCATTGGTATTCAATATTGGCGGATGCCTTGCCTGCCGGTATAATCAGAGAGGAAATTTTTTTATTCGCTATTCATCGGAATTGAGAATTATTGCCGCTGTCGAATGTTTTGCCAAACCTTTTCACTTTTCACTTTTACATTGGAATAAAAATATGACTTTTTAGTTTTTCTTGATGCTTTCCTTAGCATCCTTAGCAAATGTCTGCTCTATCGCATGCTAGAGTTAGACTTTCTTCTAGACTTTTAATTTTTAAAATATATAAAAAGGTGTGCATTTTAGAAGTCATTTTCAAGGTGATCATTATTTAGACATGTTTAATTGCTTATAATGCCACTAACAATGCATATCATTTGCGGGAATGTTCACAGAATATTTTCATTTCAATAGCAACTCGATAGTTGCAAAAGCACAAAACACCTGTAAAGTTGAAAGTTTGTAATTTTTTTCAAAATTGATTTTTTTGGAAAATGTAGGTTTTATGAAAAAACGGTTTGCAGATTGGAGTTCAGCTTACAAAAGTCTACAAGGATCGCCTATTGTAGATTGTAAAATTAGATACGTGTTGGACAGTGTAATGGTTATCGGTAAACAAAAACATGTTGATCGCTTATAGCGGTTGTATATAGCGAGGATATGGCATTAGCTCTTCCATCACTTGTTTTGCTGTTTCCCGCTTTTACCATTTACTGCTTCCTTTATTGTATATTCACGGCCTTATGCTGCAATTTTTTTTATCCTGATTATAACTGTTATGGTCCTCGATTGAATTTAAATATCATGTCAGCCAACTTTAGGCATGTTTATTGAATGTATGTTATTTATATTGCTATCTTATTGCTACATTATATTACTGCTACTTTGCAATTGTTTATACACTGTCACGAGTGCCATTTAACTGATACGCATGTATTTATAATCAAATCAAATAATCTTTTGATAATTCTTGCTCTTTCTCCGTTGGTTACATAACTTAATTATTATTAGAATTCGCTATCGATAACTTGTATCACGAGGTTTTTAAGTGGAATTTCAATTCGGTTATACCCGTTTTAATATACATAATTGGTTTCACTTACGTGAAATTGCCGATCGTTCTTTATGCAGATTGTCGGTAACCTCGTGGATGACTGCATAGAAATAGTTGATTTGAAATGCGAGTGTCATTAACAATTCAATTCATTCTTTTAAAATCAATAACCGTGATCGCTAGTTATTGGACTTAAAAAAATTGCCTTCATAATATCAGTTTCCTCGTGCATAATACTTTCAATTTTCTAACGGTGAACTAATTTTTCGTATGTTTAAAACTTGACAGATTCATTACAAATATTTAATAGTGCATACGTTTATTGCAAATACATTCAAATCTTATGAGTGAAATAATACGGTTAAAATGAAACGAGTTGGAAGTGTAACGAAAAATATAACGAAATGGTGATTGAGTTACACTTATCGAAAATTAATTACTCGTTATAATATTTCACAGAACATTATTTAACATTATGCTCGCTTTAAATTTGTTTCAGGAACCATTCTGAGACGAACACGGAAGAAGATACAATATTCTATTCTTTTCCCTTTACTAGATTCAGATTCCTAAATAGATAGAATTTCTCTGTGAGACATGTCTTTAGATTCTTATATAGGTAGAATACCTATATAAAAAAATGGGATTTGTGAAATTAAAATTTGTTTTAAAAACCTTTTTAGGACCGACGAATAAAGACACACGATAGACAAGATAGACACAACAAATTAGATTTACTTTTAAGCAGAATATATATTAATTATTTAATATGTGGTTTAATACACAATTGAGTATTTTTAAATTTATGAATAGATGAAATATTCTTAAATCATCATCTTAACGCTTAAGTAGGCATTTGGTAGGAGAACACTGATTAATACTACTAACTGTAAACGTTAATATGTGCCATTTCTTATATGTGTAAGTAGGTGTACTTAGATAACATATACTGTTAATTGAGTGCGTCTATAGTTAAGAATAATATGTATAGTGATAAAGCATACAAAGTAATATAAAGAAAATGCATATGTAAGAAGCTAAGTAAGTAATTAAGGAGGTTTATTATCCCGAAATAGGATACATATGTATATGTAGGAATGTTATATTATGAGTTTATAGAAAACAGTATGATAAATACAATATCGTTGCACTCACGCGAAATCGAATATAAAAACCGCGTTTCGCGTATTCGTTTCTGACTAATTTTACGACACAACAACGCAACGAACTTTACACGACCACGATAAATTCAACTCTGGCAGAATTTTCCATGCTCATTTTTCCCCTAACATACCTTGGTAACGCTCACAACATTCCTTGACAACATTAACATATCTTGACAACGCTAATAAACAATTACCCCTCGCGCCACGTCCTTCCCTGACGTCACACTATTCCACATATATATGTATGTATTGTTATATACTTCAGAAATACACATATCAATTGTGACGAAAAGCTTAGAAGTGGTGAGAACACGACGAATAGGCTCCTATATAGTGTTGTAAAGTAATATAAAAAATTGAATTTATAGATTGGCGAAATGAGAGTGCAAAGTACGATGCGTGTCCTGTCGTATTTGATAAAAGTTGATTCAATAAAACTTTTCATTGATTCTCGAAGATTGTTACGTTTTCTAATGTCTAGTGGTAACGTCTCTAACGTGTATTCGATCGAACTTGAAACAAAGGATTGGGTTAGTAACAGACAGAACGATATTCAATGGCGAAAGGAGATAAGGAGGATGACAGAAGGAAAGGAAGAAAGCTGAAGTGCACATGGTTGTGGTTAGTAGGAATTTGAGAAAGTAACAAAAAAAGGGAAAAGCGAGTAGACGAGAGGCGTTCAGAAAAGGAAAATACATATATCAGAAAAGGATGCGAGTCCGCGTATCAGTCGGATAGGGTGCGCGGTTGAGATGTGCCATAGGGAGAATCGAGTTTCGCAAGGTGTGCCGTAGTCGAAAAGGTGGGGTTGATGTGGCGAGCGAGGACGAGATCGAGGGCGCGAGCCCGTGTATGGGTGGAAATTTGCGGCGGGGTCGTGCCGCGG